GCGAGGTATTGGAAGACCGCGCCGCCCCGCCTGCGACTTCGCCGCGCCCTGCTGGACGATCCGCGGGCAGCGCACATTGGTGAGTGTCTCAAAAGGCTGGCCGAAATGTGGAAACATCCGAATTGAAGCTTCCTACACAATGGTTTTTGAGCACGCTAATTACTATTCCAATGTTAACATTGCAAAACGACGGGTCCAATAAGGCGGATTAAAAATTAAAAGTATCTATGAATGTTTTAATTTTCATAAATAGTTGTTTAAAATTTTGATATTTAAATATTTATATTGTAGAGAATGAAGTTTTTACATATTTCGTTGTAGAATTCTCTGGAACGTATAACTCTTTCCCACTATAATAAACAATAATTAATTTTAACACTTTGTTTAAACATCAATTTTTAACTATGTAATTTTAACATGTGTTTTTAAGTATTTGTAATACATGTAAACATTGTACTCGCAATCACGAGTTTCGTTCATTTCAAATGATGACAATTGTTCAAAACCGGGAACTGTTGCTCGCCCAAGGGCACGTTTCGAACGATGCAGAACGTCATTGTGACTCCTTGAACCTTTTCTAGCCGTGGACTTAAACACCCTGGGCACCTGTCTACCCAACCGCTTTCTTAAAATTCCCTAAATCAAAGCTTTTTTCGACTTATGGCCAGCTGTTTGAGAGATGTTGCCCCAACGTGGGGCGGCGATGCTAATTAACTTCTATAAATAGCGGCGCCGTCTTCGCGCGACCGAGCGGCGCGCCCTGCGAGCGAGGGCCGGCTGGCAGGGCGCGCGGAAGGACTGGCAATCCGGCGCAAATCACGGTTTTTGTTCGCTCCGGTCTTTGTGATCCGGTTGATGGCGCTCGTCGTGGAAATGTGGACAGGATGGAAGGGCTGGGGCAATGCGGAACCGTGATTTCGGGATTGATGGCAAATTCAATGGCATAAATTCGTCCGAGTAAGAATTTAATTCCTATAATTATCTTTAAGTTTAATATTGTCCTGTTAGACGTGGACGAACTACTACTGGTATCTGCAGCCGACGGAAAATGCTATTTGAAATACGATCGTAATCTCGGTACAAATTACTTTTTTTCTTTTATGCATCGTTCTATCTTCTTGGTGCTTTAGGAGGGAGCGGTGGCATGATTTGTACAGATGAGCGTGGAAAGAATACTCTTCAATAGAACAAGAACATAACAAAATTATGAATAATCTTGAAGGGTTTAAACTCAACGAACAGTTTATTCACCAACATTTGTACACCCATGAACCCTTTCCCAAAAGAACAAATAAACTTCCCAAGATACTCAGACAGCTTTCCCAGCGCGATGCGGCGCCTCTCCCGTGCGTCCAAGGCACGGCTGCCGACTTGTCGCTGGCGCACCAGCAGGCCCTCTCCAGGGCCCTATAACTCCCGTATAACGTGGTGGAGACCATTACGGTGGCGCGCACTGCTGCATCACCTTCTTTACAGGAACTAAAACAGGAACTGCTGCCAACGATACTTTAAACGTGCGTGACTGCTACGTGAGTTCGCGGGTCGCAAGCAGGATCATAATGTTACAAAAGATAACGTCTATGTTCGCGCTTTCTTTAGAGGTTTCTTAGAAGTAGAGATTATGAATAATTGTACATTTAGAAGACACTTTTCGTATTTCTCACAAATTAGCCAATTTGTATGCGGGAAAGTTGGCGAGCCTAACCTGCAGCTGAACCCGGCGACACTAGCGATTCCTATAGTAGCAACCTCGAGCTTTGTCCCCAATTTTGATAGAGTGTTGCCGGGCCCTGGCCCTCTCCTGGGGTGCGGTCGTGCGGGTTCCTCTCTCCTCGACCGTAGCTCGCAGCGCTCCGCTGGCGTACTCTCCGTAGTGGCTGCCGCGTCGAATTCCCACTGTGCTGTCTGGACTGGTACTTGTTTCGAGGTGCCGGTACCCGTTTTGTAGCGGGCGCTGCTGTAGGCAGAGACTCGGGGTCGAATGAGTGTGACTGCTGCTTCCCGCTGCCTCCGAGCGCGGGAAGTTCAAACTCCTGCCGGACACATAGCATATGACAACGCTAGAAAATATTGACCGAAAACGTATGATTAACCATTGAGGATTAAATGAATCAATATGCCTACAAAAATACGACAGAAAGCGTGATTTGGGATACATCTTCCAGCAAAATAGGTAGTTAAAATTTGAGGTATGCAAGAAGTTGAATTTATTAATTCCCTTGCTTTTTAACGCATTATATTGACATATTTTGACTGAGAAATTAACTTAACAATATATATTTGAGCCAGAACGCCCCCTTTCACCGCCTCCGCCCCGGCCGCCGTCGCAGAAGCTTTTGTGGTCGTTGAACCATCGCCTATGAAAAGAAACTCCCCTTTCGTTCTCGCAGGACACTGTTAGTGGCTGGGGAAATTAAGAAATGAACGGAGGAAAGATTCCGTCGAAGCCGTGCGATCCTAACCACTAACGAAATTATTATTTTGGGGAAGTGCCTGCCCATCCTTATACTTTCATAAGCGGTTTGAACGGGCGGATGCCGAAATATCATTGGGCAAATGAAAAATCAAACTCGGTTAACACTCAAGTTGAACGAGTAACATGGTCAGAGCTCTTGTGGGTATGCAGATAAGTGGAGAAAATCATTCCGAATCTAAATTTCGCCTCAAACTTTCTGCTCTCCGGGGAGAACACAGCTACTGATATTGCTGTTGTTGCGCGCAGGTATGAACGCCGGCCGTAGCACGCGATCGTAGCACGGCCAAGCAGGCGTATGTAGCATACCGAAGCATGCGACCATAGCACGCCGGAGCATGCGACCGTAGTATGACAACGTAGCACGCCATAGCACATCCGTAGCTCGCGAACCAGCGACCGCAGCACTCCGTAGCATGCGACGTAACACGCGGTAAAATGCGAGCGTGACACCCTGACATGCTACAATAGCACGCCGTAACACGCGACCGTACGTCGTATCATGTGACAGTAGCAAGTGTTATAGCATGCGACTGTAGCACGCTGTAATATGCAACCGTATCACGCCGTAGCATGCGGCAGTAGCACGGCGTAGCATGCGACCTCACCATACGACGAAGTACGTTGTATCTTGCGACCATAACTCGCCGTAACATGCGACCGTAGCCCTAACATGCGTGTCGTATCATGTGTAGCATGTCATAGCAAGCGACGTACCACGATGTAGCATGCGACTGTAGCACGCTGTAACATGCGACGTAGCACGTCGTTGCTTGCTACCGTAGTGTGCGGTGGATATTGTCATGGTTGACCATGACACGGCGTTAACGGTGGTTGCAGGTGCTTCGTCCTGCTTCGTCCAGGCGAGAGACTGGATAAAGCCGCCTGAATTTAAGACCGCAGTAATCAGACCGAGAGGGACTCGGAATCACTCTGCAAGTCACATAATGTAGGCCGGCTATTATCAGACTCCTCGTCGAATATGAAACCAGAAGGAATGAAACACTCTCAACCAAAATTATTCTTCCAACAACCAAGGTTATACTGCGGATCTACGACGAAACGTATTATCTTCACAACAAGGGCAATTCATTATAATTTTGGCTATTGGGAAATAGATCGATCTCCCTTGCAGCACGTAGGCCGTCACATTCCTCCCAGCAAATGTGTGCAACCTTGTCGTGTGTCTCAATTCCCCTCGGGAATATCGCAACTCCCTGGATGTTACGTGTGCTTGGGGTGTTATACGATAATCACAGAAACCCTAGCATCGCTGACGAAGTGTATATCTACGCTTGACGCCAAGTTCACGACATTTCGCACCTCTAATGCAAGAGGGCAACAGCTCCGAAAAATTAGAAATTGAGATTCACCCATTGTTAGATTACTCGTTTTTCATTACGTGATATGCAACAATGCCATTGTTCAGTTTCATAAACAGTAAATATTAGCAATTTAATTTAAATTCAATTCCTGTTTTTATATGCCCTAGAAATAACTATCGAAAGCTCTCTTGCGAAATTTGTGATTTGGAAGTTGTGGCCCCGTTGCATTAAGGCTGCGATTTGTCCTTCAACGTTTTCGACCACAAAGGAATCGCATCCCCGGCCCTAACCAGACGCACGTAGTAGCACTTCTTTGTTGCTCGCTACACAATAGTAATATTTGGTCTCCGTCTGCTTCCACATATCCTTTGTTTCAGGTCCCTTTATAGTATACAATCATCTAGGGAATACTCGTCTCCTTATCTACCCGACTCGCCAGCGGAATGAGCTGTCCTCGACCGCTTTCTTTCACAAAAGTTGGCGACCCGACACAAATCAGATTCGGTTAAGCCGGCGACAGCTTCTCTCTTCCCCGTCACATTCTGTGTCGCATTCTACGCTGTAGGAAAGACTGGCTTCCGTTCCTTTTTAGTTTGTTGCCTTCGGTGAGTTAGTTTTTATTTCTAACATCATTTTCACCTTGTACAGGTCGACTGACATTTTACATTTCGTAGGGAAACGCAAGTGATGGTGCAGACTAAAGTTTACAAACTTTGGAATTTGGAGGCTCGAATTTGATCACTCTTTATGAATGAACGTGTGGTTGGGAATTACGTACCACAAGATGTGTATGTGTGTGTGTACTTAAGCGCAATGGTATCTGACGAAGCTTGGGAATACCAGTGCCGTCCCGTTCTTGCGGGTTACGAGGTACGTGTGGTCAGCACAAGCATCTGGTCTTTACAACCTTTTCATCGTCCCACTGCAGCACATACTGGGTAACAGTGATCATATTCGATCCTGAACATGCCCTAAAATATATTAATATTTATTCTGAGACCCCTTTATATATGCAGTATTCCTTTTTCCTCATTAATGCCAATATTATAGATTTTGTCAAAATGCGTTTTATCATATTTTTACACTCTGTCACATTTCTGTGACCACTAGTCACAATGTAACGCGGTATTGAAATTTTACATCATTACCAATATAAACATATTAGTGGTCTGCAGCTTCCAACATATTGCTGTCGAGTTTCTGGGAAGTGGAGTGCTGAGCCAAAAATTGGCTGACCTGAAACGACACACTGAACACTGAAGCTTCTTTCTTCATCGCTTTTTAGCGTCAGCTGCGTCTTAAAATATGGCGCTCTGATTATGAGAATATAATTATATAATTAATTCAATAAATTGAGGATTAACATAACAAAATATCTGCATTCCTGGGTCAAAATCGAAAGTGGTTCATGCTTTTTGTATTGTTATTGAATTTCTGGGAAACCATTGTCACTTCCCTTATGTCCAGATGCTACTTTGTTTTCCGTCAATTTATCATTGTATTAGAAACTAATAATATCAATAAAAGATTTAGAATGTGTAAAAAATCAAACGTGAATTCATAAGGCAAGAGAATCTTAATCAAAGTTTCTGGAATTGTACGTATATATTCCACTATCCTCCCCTTTACCATCACCATTCTTATTCATTCATTCACCATTCCTTATTCCATCTGATATTGATATTGTTGAGGAACACTTTTGCACTTGCTGGATTCCGTGAGTTTATCAACCTCCTAACACAACCCCTGTGCTCTCACTTTCAATCCCCGGACTAAATACTTTCACGGCTGACAGAGCTAGGCAAATGGTCGACAATCGATAACGAGCCATCGTCGCCGAGCAAAGTTTCCAGCCGGATTTTCGCAGTATTACTTTATCGATTTCAGCCCCGGGGCTTTAGATTGCCGCGCTCTGATTGTCTGCTTCAGATGCGTTGTTCCACGAGACGGTAGCGAGAGCATCAGGCATTCACGCAGAGGACGGTAGCCAGCGGATGTGCCTACGGTTTAATAGCCACACTGCGTTTTTTCCTCTGCGCGTGTGTTACTTTTCGTCATTGTTCGGAAAATGTTTGAATAGGTTTGCTGCTTTGCGACTTTCTGTGGTGCATCTGGACTCTGCTATTTGCTATTTGCGGCGTGGCTTGGATACGCTTATGTTGCTTCGATGGATGAGGCAATGAAGTGAGTTCTGTGCGGAATGAGTGAATTAAAGTTGGAAAGAACGTCTGTTACCTGCAAGTATTCGCGGTGTTTTATGCCTAATAAAGTGTTGGATTATTAAACATCATTAAGCTTTACACCAATTAACTACGTTCCTGTCAGCAACGTGTGTATCACTTTACTTTCACTGAAAACAATTTCTATTATTTTAGATAATAAAATATGTTCTTGCATTCACGAGAAACGATAGTAAAATTGCTCATTACAAAGGAGTTGCCATGTAAATATCGCAACAATACACATTTAGTACATTAGAAGTTGGCAAGTTTCTGAAAACGATATATCCGATAAACCAGTAGTTTTTGCTCGTTTGAAAAACGATAAACCAGTGTGTTGTGTATTGTCTTAACAAAGCATGTAGCCTGCAGACTCGAATTTCTCAGCGTATGAAGTCTCGGAAAATCAAGTTCCGTTAGTTTCCTTAAGAAGTAACAAATACTTTAAGTTAAATACCTTAAGAATAACTTAGAAAAATTAATTTGATAAAAATATCATAATGTTAATATTTAGTATTTGCACGTCACTACTAGGGTAATACAAATGCACACACACTTTTAAAGGTAACTTATATTTGTAAAGATTTCGTACGATACATTTGCATTATTCGTGATCAAGGTTCATTTATGGACGTTTCTGTTAGTCGATTGATTGATCAATTGTGAGGGATTCCGGGCGCATCCTTAGCCCATTTGTTAGGTACTTCTCCGGCATTCGCCTGGCGTAGATTGGAGAAGGCACGGAAAATTATCGATATGAGCAGCCAGCCTCTAGAATTATCCTCAAGACAGAGACAATTGGACCCAGCTCACAAGCTATTACCTAGAACCTCCCGGTCAGAGGCGCTGCAGTGACATCTGCTGTATATCATTTCATTCGCCTCCTGCTGCACATTCCGTTTCACACGCTGCGAATGTTTCAGCCCCGGAATTCACTTGCTCTCTCTTTAGCAGTCCTCTTTAGTCCTTTGCGGCCTTTCTTCCCCCGCAAACCGCCTCCGCCACGCGCTCCGCCTCACGTGGGCGGCGGCGCCGCTTTGAAGGCAGAGAGCACGTTACCCGCGACGCCTTCGCGCGCGCCCTCCCCTTCAATTGACAGAGCCCCGGGCGGGCGAGGGACTTCTTCCAGATGAGTCGTGGGAAATGAAATCCTCCGACTTATTGAATTGAAACGCGGAGAGCCCGCGTCGGCGCACTTGGCGTTGGCGGAGAAGAATATGCGGCGGCCGCGACTGCGCTTGCGGATTTGCAGGATGAAGCTGCGGTCGGGCCTTCGATCGGTACGAAGTATGGTTTATGGGGGGGGGGGCAACTCTCAGTCTCTCGGTCTGCAGAGCACAAGTTTCACCTGAGGAAGGAAGAATCTTTGATATCTTGTTACTGGATGTACGAAGGTCACTCCAAAAGTAATGTACATTAATGCTTTCAAAAATTAATTTTGTTTTCTACGTCTTCGCTGTTTACAGATTTCGAAGTATCATTCTCTCGCTGGAATGGAAATTTAGTTCTGCCTGTTTCCGCACTCGTTGATGATGACGATGACGATGGCGTTGACGGCGTTACACGTTCGTGGGAAGCAACGAACTGCGAAAACGAGGCAGCGACAAACATTCACAAGGGGATAAACACGTATACGGATATGATGTGGTTGATCAAAGTCGTTGAGCTTCCAGATAATCTGGTGGATTGGGACAAGGAAAGACTCGGGATCCCCCACGCAGCGGCAGACTGCGCACACGAATTCTCAGCTTACGTATACATCAGACTGCGCACACATTCTCTGGGAAGGTGCAGCTAACTCACAACCTCATTTTGGCTGACAAACATGTAACCGTGAAAGAATTCTCAATGGAAGTGGATATAGGAGAAGCGAGTGTGTACACTTTAGGGAATGAACTGAAATTGAAAAAGGTCTCTGTAAGGCGGTTTCCAGGAGATGATGACTCCACTGTGAAAATTCAGCAAACGGTGGCTCAGACGTGCTCTTCCAGGCTTCTACCGTGCGAGTGTTCATGCTCTTCTTCAAAGGTGTCGTAAGGTACGAGAAAGAGACGGAGATTACGTGGAGAAGTGACTTTTTGGTCCTCAAGGGTGGATCAATACACTGTAAAAATAGCAAAAGTGTGGAAAATAAATTGAATTTTAAAAAAATTACACGAGACCAAAATCAATTAAATTGTTTTCACACTTTTATAGGTGCCTATCAGTGCACATCAATCTCGAAAAGGAAAAATCTATTTTGATGGTGTTTTCATTAAAAGAAAGAGGATTTTGGTATACATTATTAACCTACTTTTTTATAATTATTTTTCTATTACGTAAAGAAGAATGTTGCTATTTTTTTGTTCTGTTGTGCTTGTTGTACGGGTATCTCCTCCAGCGGAGACAAGCTCTAAGCAGTTGACTAGCTTCTCGACATATACTGTACTGTAGTCCACATAAGTTTGTGTGTGTGGTAATGGGGATGATTGGGCAAGGAAGACGAAGGAAAGATCTCGCACATCCCGTAGCCCGTTTGTTAGGGTACTGCCCCGGCATTCGCCTGGTGTTTACCGGAGAAACCCCCGACCGATCAGAGCAGCCGTCCGCTAAAATTCTTCTCCAGGCTTCGCCCTAGGACTTTAACTAGTGCCGAAAAATCTGCCAATGTATGGATTCGAACTCTAGAACTTTCCGGTCAAAGTCCCTGTGGCCATGCTCACTCTGACTTAAACCGCAGCTGGTGGCTAAATATTTAGTCTGCCGAACACACAATATTCTTTTGTCCCAAGTCACCACTATTTCGTGGGGACCCAACCCTAATATATATAAAAAATTGGAAGTATAATTGCATTTTAATCAATTCAGTTTTGCAACCAATAGCAAATATAATAACATACTATAGTATATGTGTAAAATTACTACACTGGTTTATGAAAAATTTACAACACTTAGGGATATAATGGATTTCACCTGTTAATGAATCTACTATCTTCGAAGAATCACATTTGATATGCCAGGGAAGGGCTCGTTCATATTGGTACATAATGTAAGCGCCATAAATGCATCCAGAATGAGATATTAAGCAAAAGTGGTTATTGATTAACAGATTAGCGATGTAGTGAGTGGAAATTCAGACTCATTCACAATAATGCTGTTGGAATCGAATGCGATGTTTAGTGAATGGCAAAAGCAAAGTTAAGTGGACGTACGTATCACGAGATAATTAAGACTTTTACATTGTAATGATTTCAATAAGTTTGAGATCAATCAATCCAGCTTCATCAGCCACTCGATGCGAGAACTGAGTGTTAAACAGTTCTTCGTGAACTTGTACAATTTGTCGCATTAATGGAATGATAAAACACTGCATCAGATCATATCAAAGCAATACTTCTAATTAGGTGAATAGTGAGAATACCTTTCCATTAACATGCCATATATTAAATTTTAAAAAATGGTCAGAATTCACTTTTGGATATACATGTGGATATATCCACAAAATAATTAGTTGAAATGTCGCGTTTTAAACCATTAATATGATATTTATAGTCATGATTTAGCTGAGAGAGTAGAGGAGAGAAGGGGGAGAGGGAGAAAGAGACAGGGAAAGATGGAGAGGGAGAGAGTTGTTTAGCGTAATGCAATTACATAGGAAGGATTGAGTTCACGAACCGTGCTAACTTCATTTATTGCTAGTTACCATTATTTCAGATCAACTATTAATCAATAAATAATTTCAGATAAAATTGTGAACCATTACACCATACGTCATACATTATGGAGTGACAGTAAACATTAAATTGTAAGCATGATACGCCCAGTGAATTTATTGAGAATTCTCCATGCATGAGAGCGTGACTCTTTTGGGAATACCTGTTAATAAACTCAAAACTATAAAGAGACAATTAATGCGCAAAAGAAGGATATTGTACTTTTAACGTACGAGTTTATGAAAAAATTTCACTGCGTCTTCGAATGATTTAATAGAAATTATTTTAAAAAATGAATTGAGAATGTTTCATTTATGTCCGTAAATACCTATTTATAAAAAAGAAACACAAATAAAATAGCCCCCCAAATAACAAGGAACATATATTCGTAAAAAGAGTATAGTCTCCATTTAAATGAAGTTATTAAACACATTATTATCATCAGTCCTCTCGTTCAACATGTCTGACATTTTTTCATTTGAAATTTGTGATGAAGATTCACAATTTCATATAAAAACTACTAGAACTGTTTCGTAATTTTTTTATGTTGGGCATCGAAATGCGTATTTTTCATTTCTGCGTGTTATATTTCGCCGAAGTGTGTCAATTTTCTTGCAATACCTAAATTTAAATTGAGACATTAGAGTTTGTTTTCACTGAAAAAAATGCATACTTTCACATAGTAACCGTATTTCACTACTGAAAGAACAACTGATGCATCTAGCTTAAATTTCACCGCCAGAAAAATGTCAAACGTTTTTGTTTGTAGACAGCCTGGACTGATTGAAGTTTCAATAAATTGTTTCTTATTTCAGAACATTCAACAAATAAGGGAAAAGTTGTTAAAATATGTGAAGAACGTTGAAATATTTTAAGTGGTAAATCTTCAGATGTATTTAATTTCCTATTAAATACATTAAATGATAACATTGAATACAACTGGATCTGTGATATTGCTTTAATACCTCTAATTTCGTTTATTTCGTATGATTTATTTGCCATATCAACAAAATTAAGTGCTGAATTTTGCTAAATCATGAATTAATTTGTAGTATTCCTTCAACTCAGTTAATACTATTAAGAAAGACTTAAGTGTCTTCTAGTAGGAGTGATTTACCTGTGTTTTTGATGCTCCGAAAATATTTTTCGAATTTTGCGGAGTGATGGAAACCTGTTTATGCTCTCGCTACAGAGTAGAGAGAAAGTAATGTAATACGATGCAAAAATAGCCAAATTTTCGGCAGAAGAACTCGTAAAACACGTCCCTGGTAATGAAACGGTGGATAAATCCAGTTGCTTAATTTAGAAAAAAGTCTTCTAAGAAGAGGTGTCGTCAGAAACCATGTTTTGCGGGTCCTTGATACCGAAGAATTGATTGAAGGCAAAACCGTCCGTCCGTAGCTGAACAACACTAGTGGCTAAACCGCTCAGCCGACTTTCTCCAAAATTGATATTCCCCAATCGATCTGGATGGTACATGGAAGTTGAAAGCGATATTTTAATTTTGGGGATACTTTACATGAAATTTGTAGGGCGTTTTCCAATGTTGAAAAAAATGTTTCCATTTTGCATTAAATTTCATTGTTGGATAGAGTGAAAGACAGTTATGAAAATGGTGCAGGTCTCTTATTCGTTAAAAACCCTGATTTTTTGAAAATTGTGAAAGTTCAAAATTTGTTCTGAGTCTTCTTACAACTAAAATATTAAAGATGATATTTACCCCTTAATGAAATAAGTTCCTTTAACATAGATTTTGAAATAAGGTCATGTACAATGTTGCGAAAATTTGAGTACTTTTCGCGTAATATTACGTAAAAATACGGGCGAGATATTACGTTGTTTTTTAGCACCACTAATTTATCCTCTACTACAGGAGTGTCGTACTTGCAAGGCCTCAAGGGCCATAACTAAAACTTTTAATATAGTTGCGAGCCATGTTCGTGCGATCCACGCCTGCTTCTCAATTTACACTACAAGAAAAAATTGTTACATCTAAACATGAAGCTATTTTCACATTAAGAGGTGTTGCCCCCCGACGGGGTGGGTTCGTAAGGCGCGCAGTTTTCTCTCTTGATGTGGGTGCAACGGACTTTCACTTTGGACTAAAAACATTTCGCGCGCCGCGGGACGCCAGTTGGCCGAGCCTGTTCTAGTCCGTTCTTCGCGTTGTTCTGGTCGATGAGTATTTGGAAATGATTTGGCGCCCATCAGTCATTCGCGTGCACACACGCCGCCTCTGCCGGTGACATTTGCGAATCGCGGGCCGCCATCCGTCTGCGTCAGTCCCGTGGTGCGCGTGGCGTCACTGGGCTATTTCGGAGAGCGCGGGCTGGTGCTCCGCTCTTGATTGACGCGGCGTGACGTCATAGGCTCGGCACCTGCTGGCGCGTCGGAGAGCGGCGGAGGTAGGGGTCGCTAGACCTCGGGCGTTGGCGAACGTAAAGGCAACTCCACACATTCGGCATCGATCTGGGCAGTCCGGGTGACGGCGCGCCGAAGGCTGAGGTGCCGTCAACATACCGCCATACGCACTACAGCCCTGAAGAAGACCGCGATTTGTTGATCGAGACGATGGCGCCTCAGCCTTCGATGCGGTGAGAAGCTACTGCTCACCCGACCTCGCGCAGCTAATGTGTTCCGCAAATGTTCGCTCCCTTGAGGCGTCCGAAAGATCGCCACGCGGTGGGTAGGGCGTTCGTCTTTCGGCAAATAGCGAGTCACTCGTCCTCACTACGCGGGATTCGGCGAGAGGCTGCTCGCTGTACGCCAAAGAACGAATGTGTGGAACCGTTTGGGGAGTTAAGAGACGTTTCAAAGTTTTCTTCAAGTTACAGGGCTACAGTAACTTAATTTCTTAAATGAAATCAATGAACGATTAGCAAATCTCTTTCTCAATGGAATTGTTTCTTCTGCTTCCTTTCCACTGCATGTTAGTACCTAACCTGGTACTCCACTATTTGAACATAACCTTGCAAAACTAAATACGCTAAAGTAACACTGACGTGTTCCTTTCTCTGTCGTGCTTGCGAAAGAATAGCAAATATTGCCGAAGTTTCAAAATTGAAAAGTTAATTGTAAATATTTCAAATGCTGGCTGTAATGTTTGTAGGGAATTATTGAATGTTATGTTAAGTGTGGTAAAATTCATTGTAAATTTTAGAAGTAAATTTAATTTAAAATATGTTGTTTGAAAAAGGTGAGTGAAGGAAATTTCACGTTACAATTTTCGATCATTTACTATCATATTTTTTGATAGCGACCGTGCACGGTACTGGGAGCAATTTAGGTTTGTTAGTTCAGGGTACTTCAGTGGTACTGAGAATTGTATTTTTTATTGATCCAGAGAGTGTATTTTGGAAAGTTGTTTCGTATTTCTTTGTTATGTGATTATTATTTCAGTGCTTTGTAATGAGTGACAAATTGATGTAAGAATATACGCCCTTATTTTACCTAATTTCTGTCTTAAAGGTGTGTCTTCGATACACCTTTTCACACCTGAAAGATACTGCTACCTGATATCATAAAATATATTACAAGCATTCATTCAGCATCTTTTCCAAACTGTCTGAGGAGTGTTACGTGGCCCGCTGGGTTTGTCAGAATAAATAAATATGCATGCATTTTCCTTATGCGGCTGCAGAGGAACAATGCCCAAGCAAGAATAATTAAAAAAATATTTCTTAAAAATATTTAAACCCATTGTTGCAGGGCATTGTGGAAGAAGCACCGTTGCCGAGGCTACCTCCGCAGATGACGAGGTCAGAGGGCAGGGGCCTAACTGCGTGCTGCCGCCCAGCTGTCCCCTCGGAGCGACATCTCCCGGGGAGGAGGAGTGGCGACAGGGCAGGTATGTCGCCGACGGGTTCTGCGTGTCTCGCTGCTAGTACAAGGCGGATTACTCATCGCAATTGTCTCGATTATGATGGCTGGTCAATATGTATAGAGTCATGATAGAGGTTATTGATATTATTGAGAAGACGAAATCCAGGGGAATTACTGAGGTTGCTAACACGTACTGTGTGCTTTCAATACAATCAGTTCACTTCCTGCAATAATAAAATCGTAAAAAATAAAATAATAAATGGATATGATTCCCCCGCTTCCTTGGATATAAAAATGTATCATGTACTAAACTTTTGTCCTACAACTTGAATGCACTTAGAAGGAACTTCTGCATAGTGGTGAACATCTTTCCAGAAATATACATATTTTGTTTTTCGTTCAATATTCATCTTTTTGTTATTATTTAATTTATTATTCGATCTTCATGATTTAAACTGACTGCTCACATGTAACATTTTTTCGTATTATATTTAACCAGGTGAAGTATCCGGCGTTGATCGGGTATTTATCAAAGGTAACACTGCAAGAGCTTTGGAAATTACCGATGAATCTCCAACTCGCGAATAGAGGAGGGGACTTATTCGAGACTTCCAAAAGACGAGGCCCCTCCATAAATAAGAGAAAAAGCGAAAATGGTGACCTGGTAATTATTGCCGCAACGTTTCTACTCTTTCGCAAGGGGACTGGTAAACTAAAGTCGCCTCCTGCATGGTAGGATAGGGAGCTGTCCGCTAGCTGGTCCCTTGAATGTGAACCATCACGAAACGATTCAATGTAAGCGTTAAAAAAACTTATAAAAGTTACCAAAAGTCCTAGAAAAAGTACTGTAAGAAACTCGATATTAAGTATTACCGTGTGAAGTTTACGTTCGTTCCTCGCTCGAATCGTAATATCACACTCGTGTGTTAATATTCTTCATTATATGAGCGTTTTATAATGTACTATTTTGGAGGTAACTGCCATGATTTTCCTTCATTGTTATCAAAATCCATTGTTAAAACGCATTGTTGGGAGCAGCGACATCGCCGGGGCTACTTCCCTGGAGTGACGTGGTGGAAGGTGGACCCCGAAGGCTGCTCGCAACATGACACGCAGGCTGACTCGAGGTGAGTTGCTGATCACTACTTATTCGAGCCGCGCACGAGCGCAGTGGGTATCAGACTCTCACCATGCGTGACGTCACGGGCGAGCAGCCGAAGTGTTCACGGCCTCCTGGCTCCCACATCAGCGGCGCCCTCTCCCGGGAAGGAGTGGCGACTGGGCAGATGCAATGCAGACAGACTCTGCGACCGTCTCTTCTGGCTACAGGGCGGTGGATTTGAGCAGACTGCTGTTAACGAGGTCCTGTACTAATGTTATGTTCTGTTAGAAGAATCTCATACTTCTAATGAAAACTTAAGATTTGCACTTTCGACGAAAACTGTTTTTATCGGAAGTGCTTTTTACATACATATCTTTTCATTCCATTTATCAACGACTAGGATATTAGCAGCACTTTTTTAAGCATTACACTATGTCTACAAATATTTTACGAAATATTACACAGTATAGTTAATTTCAATGCAGTATTTATTGTTCTGTCCTCGTGGCTAGCTGTTAATCGGCGTGCTCGCTTTCCAATACGCGGTCTCTGGTTCGATTCCTGGTGAGGTAACTGTTGTCCCAGTATATGTTGCTGTGTGACGCTGCGAAATTTCACTTCTCAGGTTGAGAAGACCGGAATACGGCGTGGGGATGTCTACGTGCTAACCACGTGGACCCCCCTGACCCATGGCCGCGAGGCAGGGGCGTCTAAGTCCGTTCATGGGCTGTCGCGCCTAGTACATACACACATAAATAAATGCATTTATTGTTCTTGCCTCGAGAACCGAATATGAACTTTGGCCGACTAGCGATGACCATGCTTTTCGGCCATGGGATAAGGAGTTAGCACGAAGACATCCCTCCGCCGGATGTACAGTGGTCTTCTTAATTTTAAGGCATCCTCATCGACACACGAGCAATAATACTCGACCATTTGTAAGAAAACACAATGTATAAAGACAGTTTATAATTGCCTCTGCGATCAAACCCCGTGCGAAGCTCCACCTAGCCATGGCGCCACCCGAAGAAAATGTATTATTTTCGACATAAAATTAATATGTGAATTAATAATATAAAAAGCTAACATTTCTATAATTAATGCACCGAGGAGTAAATATGGTAGGCCAAATATGGTTTTACGTTCTAAGCTGTAGAGTTCATTATAAATTTTAATGATCTCGCATTTCCAAAGAAAATAGAACAATAGGCACTAGAAAAACTCTCAATTTTTGGTTTATATCTTTCCACATATCTGACTAGATTGCCCTAAATTCTACATTATTAACAAGTCACCATTTTTACGTTGGTAGAATAATTTATTTTTAAGTTTTAGCTGACAAAAAGTGAATAGTTTTAAAGTTACACTGAGGTAAAGTGGGATGCTACCCTTTTGTTATTGTGTTTTTACAAATGGGTTTCACCAAATTTTGTGGTGCTCTCGCAGCTAAACCGTTAATTGAAAACTACATCTTAGACACTAAATGTAGGTTATTTAAACTTATTTTATTTCATGTAGAACCATTATTCACGAACAAAGAATGGATTTTGAGTTCTTATAAAAAAAACTGATTTTAACATTTTTTTGCTTAAAAAAATGTTTTCCGCCAAACGTTTGTTAGCAAATCTGTAATTCGTGTTCAACGACCCAAAACATATAGGAACCAAATATCAAAACTACACCCAAACGTGCCCTTATTTTCTACCAGTTGACCAAAACGTGCCCTTATCTTGAGCACTGCCACACATGCCGGAAGACCGGTCGGAACATCGAGCTGGTCCTAGATGCGGCGGTGCCCCGCTGGTGGGGGATGCTTGGTTGGACGGAAATAGTATTTTAAGAATATTAGATAACTGTGAAATCTCGCCCTAAATGGCAATTTTCTTCGGAAAATTCGAAGTCCTTTTTAAGAAAATGGCGCTTAAGCGCTACCGTAAATTCAAAATTTGAAGCTTAGTTTCACTGAAAAGTTTTGAGTTTTCGAAAAAATTCATTTGAAGTTATTTGAAGCAGTTTAACACATAAATACAATAGTTTTTACAAATTACTGGAAATGTGCTTATTAATGGTGTGAGAGATCTTTCAAAAATATTACATTTGTTTGAGTTTTGCAATTTTTGAAATTTCAGAGTTAACCGTGAAAATATGACCTATGTATTCTCTATCAGTGTAGTTTACTCTATTTTTACAAGAAATTTAAGTAATTGAATTTGTTCAAAAGAATTGGTAAACCCGACCGGGACTCGAACTCGGGCCTTTTGGTCTACGCTCTGTTGCTCTAATCACTAAGCTTGCGTCCAACAAAAAGACGGGAATAGTGACGATTATATAAAGAAATTAAAAGAAATAATTTGGAGCTATTTTTGAGAAAATTTTGAAAATTTTCGGGGAGCTTCATGAAAAAAGTACCTCCCAATTTTGAAGTAAGTTTTCATAATCGCAGTGCCTTGAGTTGAATCAGATCGACCGGGGAATATTCCTTTTGGAAAAAAATCATACTCATAGTTTAAGCGCTAGTATTGTTCACAGACTGACGGACTGACAGACGGACGAAAGTTTCGCCGTAAATTGGTTTTGCGGTATCAAAGACTTACGAAACAGGGATTATGGCTACACCATGTATTAGAAGATTTCCCCCCTTAATTTATCAACTGAATGTATTCACATTTTCATCAGGGCGCGGCAATTAATTTTTTCTGCCAAAATGTCGTTTTTTTCGCGCAGCATTTCACCACTTTCCCTATACTATGTAAATTCCTCTGTATATACGTCTGTGTACTGGAAAGTAAAAATTGAAACAAAGTAATAAAAAAGAATCAAGTATTTATTTATTAATTGAGTTAAAAATAATTGACTTATGAAATTGATTAATGTAAGTTTTTGATGTCTCTTTCTCATTATCGTGTGTATTTTTTTAATCCATTTAACTTTACATGTTATTTTATGCTTTCAAAATCATTGCACTTGAGAGGAATTATCTCCGGAAAGCGTTCTTAAATTCCATACTCTACCTGAAGTTCGTGGTCATTTGTTTTATTTCTGATTCGAAATAAAATAAAGCTTTAATTCGCCTGTATTCGATGGTGCATTGGACGGGCAAATGAGACAGTGAATATTGCGTAGTATGGTTGATATATTTGCCTGGAGGCAACCTCGAACCCTTGAGTTGAAGGGGTTCGGTTTATCAAAGAAATGATCTGTAACACCTATAATTGTATACTGTGTTACTTAATCATTTTCAACATCATCGCTTCACTCCTTCTCTTGTTCATTTGTATTTGTTTTTTTCGCTCATTGTTCCTTTTATTTTTTATTCTCAACTCACATGGATCCAATATTTTAGGTTCAAGCTTAATGTAGCGATGAGCTCTTGTCTTACATCCCAGGCATCTACTAAAACATCACTTTTTGCAAATTATTCACAGTTCAGGTATTCGGGTCCAAACGTTATAGGAAGATGAATTTATGTAATGTCATTTCAAAGGTAAAAATCTAGATTAGTGATTTTCTTGAATGGTAGGAAGAAGCGCTTATTATAAGTATTACAAAAAAAATTCAAGAAAATCACAAATTTCAATGATAATTTGCGCGTACTTTACGGTTGCGTGGCCCATTTCACATAGATAGTTGCATCATATTTTATTTTCCTATGAAACATGAAATGTCACTTCATATTATTCACTTCTGAACGCATTTATTGCAATTACAGTACTTCAAGTTCATTAAAGAGGTGAAAGGTTTTGTCGTTTCCAATTTTAATATAATTGACAAGTACTTTCAAGACCTTACTGGGTCCAAGCACACGAAGGCTTCGAATCATCGCATGATAAACTGCATCATGGCAACAGATTCACTTATGCATTCGCTCTCTTCAGTATTCATAAATACTGTTTCGTCTGTTAATTCATACTCATGAAGTCTCTCTTAAATCAGACCAGTTGTTGAATCCGCAACGAAAGCCATACTAAGAATTGTTTTATGCACCAAAACAAGCTACACTAAACTATTGATTAATTGCGTTTCCATAGACTGTACATAATGCGGACCATCAAATGCAACGTTTTTGAAGATTGCTGAACATGATTATGACATATTTGCTATGTAGAAACAAAACATCTCGTGTAATTCGGTAATATTTTTAGTACCGTTCGTCTGGCAATAGTCGCCTCTCCTCATTCGACGTATTTGTGGTGCCATTTCTTTGGCCTTGTTTCCCCCCCCCCCTGTCTCCGACAAGTAAAACTCGTCATCCATGTCGGAACTTATTCGAACATTGATTTCGATGCGTTGATATTAAATCGCACCTCACGCGAGTTTCTAAGAGAAGCGAACTTGACCATTCGGGCATCCTACGCAGTTCGACCGGACTGTAATGTTTCAATATATGTGTGTGGTGCAGAAATCACCGCTACAAGAATTCGGTAACGTCAATATTCAACAAACACCAATACATTCTTAATGAAGTTGAACCGCAGTTTGATGCTGT